TTTCTATAACTTCTAGAAAAAAAATCATTTCTTCTTTATGAACTTGACTTCCAGACGAACAAGGACTAGTGTCATGGGAACAGGATGTACAAATCCCCACTGAAGTGATAGAAATGGGGTTACTCTGCCCCCAATGCTGTAATTTCAAATTCATGTATTCTGAACAATAAGGACACAGCATCAGATGAAGGCCATTGCTTTCTAATACATGTGGGATCCTGGAAAACAATGCTCAATCACTGCAAGGTATCATTTCTAAGCTGACACTGACTTCAAATATTCCTTTAGCCATAGGGCTGGGGACATGGAGTCAGGTGTTAGTGCTTGTTCCGCAAACATGAGAACCTTGGTTCAAATCCTCGCACTGGGATAAAAAGCCAGACAGCTGTGTGGATGTAACTCCAGCATTGGGAGGGGTGGAGACAGGTTGACAGCTCATTAGCCAGTCAGCCTAGCCAAGATAGAGAGCTTCTGGTTCAGTGAGAGACACTATCTCAAGGCAGTGAGGTAGAAAACAGTAGATGGAAAATGTTGGAGAGAGGTGATGCTCGGCTTTGACCTCCACAAGTGTGCATAGGCAAGTGTGTGCACCACACAGAGACATATAGACACCAACACACACACACACACACACACATGGACATGAACACAGACACAGAAACATACACGTGTACACACACACACCCTTTCCAGAACCTTGTCTCTGATTTTTATGTCTTTACTTCCACTTTCTCAACCACTAGCTAAGCTATTGTCAAGAGGCAGTCTGTCTGTCAGTCTATCTGATCAGTATGTCTATCTATCTATATCTTCCTCCCCTCCTCTGTCTCTCCTCTCTCTCTTCTATCCTCACAAAGCAGGTGTTCAGTGGATTTCCCAATGCTCTGTCCATGGGGAGGATTTCCCCTTATCAGTGTACTGCAGAGCACTAGGTGGGTACAGTCAGCGTGTTAGTCATTCAAGATTTCAACCATACACAAACTTTAGCCTATCCCCCAGCCCTCAGCTTATCCCCAGGGATTTCTCGAATATCCAAATGTAGACACAAATGAAAATACACCACTGTGGCAATAAAGGAATAGATTAGAGTCTGACTTACCCACTCATGCAGCAGACTATTGGTTTGTAATTTTGTATAGACATCTTGTCTTAGAAATAGTCAATAGGTTCACCAACAAGTCTGCTGTGCTTTAAAATTTGGTGAGTCTGGTTGAACGTAATTTATAATAGACTGTCTGGCCATACGGTCATTTGGTATCCCATGATCAGGTACTCCATCTCTCTTAGGTTCCTGTGGCACTCCCTTTTCAAGTAGACAATAATTCTCTGGTGTTAAAGGCATACTTCTGTTCCAAAAATATTGAGTTATATTATGACACTTTTTGTTGTGGTTTACCAAAACTCCACAGAGCATCTTTCCCCAGTGATGCCTATTACATCACAGGAACTGCTGTGTTATGTGGTCCAATTTGCAGAGTTATTTTCACAATAACCCAAAATTTTATGGTGCCTGTTATAGCTCTAGGGTTAGTCCCTATAGAACCTACATCCAGGACTCTGGGAAGATCGTTAGGTATTGTTACTTCTTCTCAGTGGGTGGAAGTAGGATTTGACATCATTGGCCAATGTCTTTGGAATGGTAGCCTTAACATGCACATCACCATACTTCTCAAAACTTCTGTGCAATTCTAGGACACTGGATAGTTGAAAGTTTTATCACCTACCTTTGAAAGCACAATTATTATATTATAAATCTCCAGCATATTTACTAATGCCTAGTACTTCTTAATAATGCCATGGATAAACATGACATTCTTTGGAATGGTCAATCTAAGTAAGGCCCATGGGATTCCATGAAAATAGATAATAAAAGAATTAACATGGTTCTAGGCACGATCATAAATACACATTTTGTCTATTCCACGTGAATATAGACTTGTTATCCTTTTCCATACCATGGAAGAGAACATATTTAAAATTGAGAGGCTGCATAGCCTACATCCGAGGCTGTGTTAATACAACCTTGCAGCGATTCTATACAGCCTTTGTAACTGGGGTTACTATCATTTGAACGAATGAGCAAAGACTCATGTATATGTCTTTTCAGTAACATGGGACTGTCATTCTCTAGGATCCTTTTAGATTTTGTAGGCACCAAACCGGTGCAACATAAGAGGTTTTACTAGGAATCAACATCCTGACCTCATTCAGGTTTTAAGTGACTTGTTCGGTTTATTCTAGAATGGTTTTGATTTGCTGTTTTGGTAGAGATGGGGAGGATGGAGGGAGAGAGCTTTCCAAAGGTTTCTCTTGGTCCACTTGACCACAGCATTTCTCATTTCACAATCCCAGGGGTCCCTCTTATGTTTTGACTAACTGATGAGCACGTGACTTTCCATTACTCAATCAAGGACTGAAGAAATCATCAGATATTTATGTATAAACCCTGTGGATTTGCCATGAACAAATGCACAATAAGGACACGGTAGGAACATTTCCCTAAGAACAAGACCATGAGAACTCACTCTCTGGGTCCCAGACATTAGTGTATCCGTGTCAACTTTAGGCTTGTGCCAAACAGGCCTCCAAATGTTCAAGCCATCTTCTGTCCCCCAGTGGATGGTCACCTGAGTAAATGGCCAAGAACTTTTTTGAGCAATCACGGGACAGTTACTTCCAGGTTTATGTTCTCTAACATTTGAAGGGATTTTCCATCAGGGACCTTTACAGTTAGGGTCTCGAAGCTGAGTAATGTATCTTAATTTGAAAATGACTGACTCGGCCTCTTGATCATCAATATCCTTGATCTATTTGATTATGTACATTGAGCAATACTTTCATTGGCCACCCACTTGTCTCATTTCTCAGAGATGTCATGTTTTACTCGCCATCTCCACAGACCTCAAAGAGAGCGCTTCCCTTTGGCTGAACTCCGGCCTCATCACTCTCCAAAATAATTCTAGCTAGGCCTGTGAAACACAGTTTCCCAGCTTCTTGGAGACCTCCAGGCATGAGCAGCTTCCTAGCTCTTCAAATAACTGACTCCATCATTAAACACCCAACTCTGTGAAAACTCTTTCTTACGCACCAGAAATCTGCTTCCTGGAATTTCCACTTATGTGGCATTTAAAAAAAATATGAGAAGGGGAGGTAACTGTCATGCAAGTCTTTTTCAGTTTCCTCACAAAGACTACTATTCCCTCTTGCTTTTGGATAATCTCAGAAATAGGCCTTCAAATTCACCGAGGAAGTCAGAATGCTAATTAATCTTAGGTTATCTGGAAGGGAAAGAGAGCACATGTACTCCATGGAGATTGGGTAGAATAATAACACAATAACCACCAGCCAGCCACATAGATAACACACATGTGTTTGCCACGTGACAGGTCCCATGCAAAGCACTTGACTCAAATTATCCTCACGACAAGCATTGATTTATGCCAGAAATATTTATTAAGCACCTAAGTCATTCTAGAAACTGGGGATACAGCAGTAAAGAATAAAAAAAAAAATCCTGCCCATATAGAGCTTACATTCTAGAGGTGAGAAGGTGGAAACAGGCAAAAATAAATAAGATAATCAAGTGCTCTGTATAGGATGTTAGGTGTTGAGTGTTAAGGAAAATAATAGCATGGGAAAAGAAAATAGAAAATGGCAAATGTGGTTTGCAAGTTTAGAGGCCTAGCTAACGGGTAACTTGAGTAAAACCTGAAGGAGGTATAAGGGTGACCTTGTGGATACATGGGAACTGTCCCACGGAGAATGAACAATAAGGGCAGAGACCCTGAGGTAGTATTAATATCTCTGTTGTATACATGACTTGTTCAACAGCCCACTGCTTGAGGATGGAGGCAGGATTCAAACCCAGGTCTACTTGTCTCGAGACCTTGTTATTGACCATTGAGCTGTCTAATGACAGAGTGTGACATTAGACAATGTAGAAATGCTCTATGGTCCCAATGACAACCCAAAATCCTAGACGAGGGAAGCAACTTGCTTAGATAGATAATGGTCGAGCTGAGACTAGCACATGGCCAATTCCAGTCCATCATCTCTGCCTGAATAATCTAGACATTTATCTTCGGGCTAAAACTAGTTTCCCGACCAATCAATGGGCTAGGCAAAACAGATTTTGGCGATAGGCATTTTAGAGTTCTATTTTAGCATTGCTGCCCTAAATGATGTCTTTGAGCTCTGATTTCTCTCATTGGCAGGTGGAGGTTAGTAACAAAGCATAGGCTATAGAGTTAGGTACATCTAAACCTGAAAAATAGGCTCTGTGATTTCCTATCTATGTGGCCTTGGGCAAGTTACTAAATATCTCTGACTCTCAATAGCATCATCCAGTAGAGGCTAGGAATGCATCTTGGAGATGTGGTAGTGATTAGACCAAAGAGTACACGTGCAACACCTCCCATGGTGACTGACATGTGGGAGCTATACTTGCAGCCACGTTCTCTCCCCTATGTGATTAGTTGTCACATGCATAACTCTTGTTTTTTAAGAGTTGAGAGGTTACCTTATATATCTAGCTACTCATCACATTTTATATTATATGGTGGTACACAGTGAATGCATTAAGAGTGATGACGTGATTGCTGGATTAGTGAAGAGAAAGAATAGTGATTATTGCTTTGGGATTCTTGTCGATGCATCCGTCATCTAGCTGCAACATCTGCTTGCTCCCTGCTCACCAGGCTTGTTTCTGCTGGTGTGAGTGACCAGCAGAGAGCCTCTTCCTTTTTTCAAAGTCAATTTGCATTATTCTGGAAGACGGGCCACTGTTCAGGTAGAAGATTTTTTTTTTCTTCAGGAAAGAGAAGAGGGACAGCTGTCACGGTGAGCATCAGTAGGTTCTTGACATATCCTGGGAAGAAGACAAAACTGCAGTTGAGCTCACAGCTTTAACATCTTCCCCCCAGACCGTTCATCAGGATGGCTATCAAAGAGTCAAATTGACCAATTTCCATTTTTATTTCTTTTCCCCACCCTCTGGCAAGATCTCACTGAGCAGCTAACCAGCTGAAGATTGGAAGAGAAGAGCAAGGCCTGGACTTCGATGACTCCAGAGATGGCTCATCAGCCGCCAAAAATTGAAGTTAGTTTTTCATTCATGTGATGTAAAAAAAAAAACTCTACTGTAAATATTAGCAAGAGTTCAATGGAGTAACTTGCTGAGAATGTCATTTTCTTAAGAAATAAAGTAATTTGTTTTTACAGCATCTTTCTACATTAGCTTGCTTAATCCTCATGACAATTCTAGGAAATAATTATTATTGTCCATGTCTTAGGGATGAACTGCAAATGGATTCTAAAGACATTAACTTGTTCCAGATTGCACAGCTGGTGAGTCTCAGGCCCAGGACACTATCTACACACTCTTAATTCCAAAATAATGCCCCTGCACCTTCTTTTCTGCCTCCATTACTAAAAGAGATGGATGGAAAACAGTTTCTCCGATTCTCTCACAGGTTAGTGAAGGCTTGACAAGGGAGACCACACTGTATTCTCTCTTGTGAATCATGCATAGAACCCTGTGCCAATGCAAAACACGTCAAAGAAACATACTTTCCCCCCAAAGTTAATGATGTGTCTAAGGATTAATGCTTGTCTCTGCTTAGCTGAGAAGACTGTGAAGCTTTACCCCTTGGCAATACGAAGGATTGGGGACTGTCAGGCCTCTTGTTTTATGTCCGAGGATCAAGGGAAAATAGAATGTTTGGCACAGTTTGGAAAAAGAATCACCAGCTGTAACTTCTGAACTCAAACACTGGTCAAGTTTAGCTTAACACACTGATGGAGGTGGGTCTTGTATCTTATCTGTTGCTTTCATTGGTTAACTAATAAAGAAAACTGCTTGGCCTGATAGGACAGAAAATTAGGTAGGTGGAGTAGAGAGAACAGAATGCTGGGAGAAAGAAGCCCAATCAGTCAGTCACCATGATTCTCCCACTCCGACACAGCCACAGGTTAAGATCTTCTCTGGTAAGCCACCTTGTGGGCTACACAGATTATTAGAAATGGGTTAGATCAATATGTAAGAACTAGCCAATAATAGGGTGGAACTAATGGGCCAGGCAGTGTTTAAAAAATACAGTTTCTGTGTAATTATTTCGGGGCATAAGCTAGCCATGCAGGAGCCGGGGCGGGCGGGACACAGCCCTCTGCCGTTCCTCACAACAACACACTTTTATGTACTTTTTAAAATAAATCAAACTACTAAACTATTGTGTATATGTGGGCAACTCTCCGGAAGACTTTACAGACAGTGGGCACCATTGGGGCGCTGTATTGGGATGGTAGGATTATGATATTTCTATATCATATATGACTATATGACTATATAGTATTTATACCAGTATATCTCTTTGCATCAAATTCCCAATTTAGAAATTGATTAAATTGACACTGGAGAAAGATAGACTTCTTCTGACATGCAGGTACTAATAACGGTACTTCAATGATACATTGCTATGAGGCGTTGGGTGTTATGGAGTTAGCATCCTTGCCCTTGGAAGGTGGATAGCTTAACTTTGCCTGGTACTCACAGTGAAGGTAGAGCAGAAGCAGAGTTTTGGGTTATATTTCCTTAGTACAACTTCTCTGGTAACTTTTTCTTTTATAGAGGTGGGAGTTTTTAATGATCAGATGTTCTGGTAAATATCCTAATTCATTCACCTTTGGAAATTCTTACGTGGCCTAATCATGCCGTTTTCCCTGAGGATGTTAGAGCTTGGGGGATGGACAATTGACTTCTTTGTACATGAAGAGACAGGCTTGGAGAAGGGGCTTTCAAAGTTGAGGTTCACAGCAAAGCAAACGTTACAGGTTTTTTTGTTGGAATCACACTATCCTACAACATAAGCATACCTGTTCTTGATATCGCTGCTGTCCTTCATTGGACTATATGGCACTTTTCTTTGTTAGAAAGAACTCTGGCCTGTGTTATTGGGGACTTTGAATCCACCTGAATACAGAGTTTTCATACTCGATAGTGAAAGAGGCTAAACATGTATGATGTGACAAATGGATAATATTTTTAAAGACGCTCACCGCTCACTTATTCTCGCATGGTAGAATATTTTCCTATGACTTGAAAGCCTGAAATGGGGTCTCTAAAGTCAGTAGAAAAAGGAGCCATGAGAATGAAGGACATGACTTCAGGTTTTGCCTGCTCTCCTTGTAGATTCTCAAATGCATTTCTTAGAGTTGCCTTCACTTTCTTGGAGGGATAACAAGTGCCCGGGCAACACCATGATATAAACTTGGCGATGCGATGAAATTCCCGATCTGCTGATTGTTATCTGTGTGGTTTTTAGAAATTACTTAATATTTCCAAGTCTGTAGCTTCATCTTGTCAAAGGAGTGAGTTGAACTTCAAACTCTTGAAGTTTTGGGGGATGCACAAGGCTGATTAATTTAAGCTCAAGAGAGTGCACTTTGGGCAGTTAGCTCACAGACATGAGGAAGTTGGATAACCTGTGTTGGAAAATAATATGGAACCAGGGCAGGTTGTTGTGAGGGTTTGAGAGGGGTGGAGCTGCTGATAGACAGGCCATAGTGCAGGTAGAGTATCACTGGTATAGTAGCTGCATCAGAGAGAAAGAATTCCCTTATGTTCTCTATCATTGCATGTCTCTACTCAAGCCCAGAGTCTGAGGACACTGACTCCTTGACCACGAGTAAGGCTGTATGTCCAGCTTACCTAGAAGACAGCAGACAACTTACTCTGCAGCCTCACAAAGACTATTACTAAGTAATAGAGTAGATGCTCACCGGGAATCTAGCTATTTCCTCTAGAACCAGACCCCCTACCGTGCCTCTGCCCTTCTCCCTTTTTCATTTCTGTTTGTATCTTTTCCTTAAGCCTCTTCCAATCATTTTATATTTTGGGGAAGCTATATTTTAGCACATTAGAGAAGGTTCCAGTCCCCATTTCCCTCCACACCTTCAGAAGGATTAGGATTATTGTGGGAAGAGGAGACAGTTGCCCTGGTTACAGCTGGGGACCAGAAAGCCAGAAAGCAGCAGTCTTCCTAAGGACCAGAGCCAGGGAGGGCAGCGGCAACAATCTTGGAGCAGATGGCTCATAGAACAGTCCACCAAAGCCCCCCCAGGTGCCGCTGCTAGTCCGAGGGGTTTCCTCTCACAGTGATCCCATTAACACATTTTCTTGGCTTTCTCTTTATGGCTGCTGGGACAAGAGGCTTTATTCCATTTCCAAACTGTCCTTATCAGTAATGCAACAATAGTTAATTTAATTAGCTGACCTGAATGGTGGCCAGTTTGGGCTAATTTGGTTTTGATAGGGCTCCTTGGCACATGCAGAACTGATAAGCATATTTCTCTCCAGATGAACAGTGGGGCGTGGGAGGGCTGTGTGAATGAGGATAGCTCTCCCAAAGCCCCTCATATACCTGAGGGACACTGTGCTTGACCAAAGGCAAGTTATGCTAAAGTCAGTATTCTCCCCCCCCTCACCAAGACTCGTCAAATGTGTCAGCTGAAAAAGATAAAATAGACAACCAGGAAATTGCAAAGGCAAAGAGCCCAGGATGAGGGTGCAGAAAGAATGCTTGCCTGGGAGGTCTAAATCTGTCACGGGGACTGTGCTTCCCTCTTTCACTCCAGTTCCGTGGGTCACCTACCTAATGCATTAGGTGGTCATTGGCCACCTCCTTCACAGCTATGTCTCTGCACATCAGTGCAATGCAGATAAGAGGATGGACAGACAGACAGACAGACTCACACCCATATGTTGTAGAAGGCCGCTTATTCATTCCTGGCTGCCCAGAACCAAAATAACCACACAGAAACTGTATTAATTAAGTCACTGCTTGGCCCATTAGCTCTAGCTTCTTATTGGCTAACTCTTACATTGTAATTTAACCCATTTCTATTAATCTGTGTATTACCACGTAGCTGTGGCTTACTGGCACACGTGGTTCAGGCTCATCTGTTCCCGGCAGTGGCTACATGGAGTCTCTCGACTCCTCCTTCTTTCTCCCAGGATTTAGTTTAGTCTTCCTCGCCTAGCTCTATTCTGCTAAGCCACTGGGAAAAACAGCTTCTTTATTCATTAACCAATAAAAGCAACACATATACAGAAGGACTTCCCAGCGCGCGCGTGCGCACACACACACACACACACACACACACACACACACACCATGGCAGGTGCTTTGAAAATGAGCTGAGTATCCTGAAAGTATGCATTCTCTGGTTCTCCTTGGTGAAAACACCATTACTCATTGTGTCTTAGGTCCTAACATGATATGCAACACAGAAGGTACTTACCACCTATTCAATGACTCAATGATACAGGAAAGGGGCACATGGAGGGACAATTTCAGGGGCGAGGAAGTCAACATACAGCTAAGTATCATAAAACAAATTCACAACCCTTTCTATCCTTGCAAAAGAAAAAATTACCAGAAACCACAATTTATTTTGTATCCCCAGGAGAGAAGTAAGTTTTCATTTTCGAGTTGTCATCTACTGGAGATAGGGTTAGGGACGGGCATTTGCCCACTTACCTTTCAGTTCTAGGACCCTATCTGGAGCAAAGCCGTGCAGGTCCTGTGCACAGGCCACAGTCTCTGTGGGTTCATCTGTGCATTGGTCCTGCTGTGTTTAAAGGGCAATGTCTCCTTGGTGTGCCCGGCCCCCTGGGGTTCTTACAATCCTAGCAGTAAATGGCCACGACAAAATGAACTCATTGACATCTTTGGAAGTTCTTTGTTTCACAGTGTTTGTAAGGGAATTATTTTTAACCTTACAGGTCCTTTGCACATCTATCATGGCTTCCAGTTTTCTGTTTCAAGGGATTCCTGTGTGTGTGAACGTTAGTGTCTCCGCACCTATGTGTGTTTCTCGTGCTTTTTCTTTGGATCTTTTTCTTCTATTTGCTTGTTTGTTTTACACTCTTTTGGTTTGTTTGTTTTTGTTTTATCTTATCTTTATTATTATTCTTTAGATGCCTGTTTGTTTTCTAAGAAAGATAGAAATGGTGTGTATTTGGATGGGAGGGGAGGTGGGAGAGAGTCTTTAAAAAGTTAGGGGAGGGTAAACCATATATGAAAAAAATCTATTTTTGATGAAAGAAAAATATGAAAAAAGACACAGTAGTTACGTGAGACTTTTTTTTCCATATCAAAATCTCTTTTGTCACATTTGTCACACTGGGGCCTCCGTCACCATTCCCCAGAAGTGTTCTTCCTACATAAGGGGACACACCAGGTAGCCTTTTGAGTTTGCTTTGAAGTGCTTTCCCCTTTCTAGAATTGCATTTTAATAGCACACAGATGAGCGTGCACTTAATGCTTTGGGTTAAATGGTGTATGATTGAAATTAGTAGGCTTGGAATCCCTTCCAACAGGAGGTCCATGTGAGACTATTTCAGTGTGACTTCTGATTCTGCTGTGTGGTCCTGTTTAACAACGTGCTAATCATCTATGATCCTTCCCTGTGCTTTCCCTGGGTAAACCCACTCACTCCATGGCTTCAGCCTCCTATGTGCTGAAAATTCACAAGTCTTTGTCTACGACCCTGGTCTTCTCACTAGATCAGTTGTACAGGAATGCAACTGGCTGTTGGAGGTTTCCAACTGGATCTTCCATCACGGCCTAAGCCAAAGCACCAAAGAAACTAATACCTGTTTACAGAAATCTATTTGTCTAAATTCTCTGCTTTTCTGAAGAGCCTAACCCAACCTGTTTCCCCTTCTTGCCTGTTTCTAGATAGTCACCTAGTCTATTGATTCTGCCTTCCAAATGTCTTTGGAATCCAGGTCATTCTAAACAGTGAAATGACTTTATTTATATCTCTCATCTCCTATCCCTCCAATCTAAACAGGAATTTCTCAAAGTCAGAGATATCCTTCGTATGTCAGACAAACAAGAAATGTTTAGTTTTCTGAACTGAATTAACGTATCCCTCCCTTTGTTCCATCAAATTCTAAAACTGTAGTGCATATCAAGTGCTTTGCTCAATATGATGATGTAGATGGGTTTTCTTATTCTTGTGTATCTCAATTTTTATTTTAGTAGCAAAATCAAATGCCGTCCATGTATAAATCATATGCTATGCAGTTTACCCACTTCATAGATGAAAATCAGGCAGAAAAACAAAAAAACCAAGTCTCTGACAGGTTAAGAAAATGTTCCCTTAGTACACAGCCCATAAATGATAGAAGCTGATTTGGAGTCTGGATTGGGTTCAATGTAAACACTATGTAAGACACATACTAACTATTCTAAGTCTGTATCTCTGTAAATAAAGAAAAAAAAGCAAAATACTCATAGGAATCTCAAAGTAATTACACTGAGTGAAAGCGGCCAGGTGAAAAGACTTGCATGCTGTGAGATTCCTTGTAGAAAAAATTCTACAAAATGCAAGCTAGATGCAGTGACAGTAGAGAGAAAAAAAAAAAAAGACAAACCAGGTCACTGGTGGCCTAGGGAAAGCGGACAAGGTTGAAAGGCTATATTGCAAGGAAGGAGAGTTTAGTGGTCATGAACAGGTTTGGGTTCTTGGTTGTGGTGACAGTCAAACATAAATGTCAAAAATGATCAAACTGTACTCTTGAAATATGCAATTTATTATGTCCCTTATTCAACAAATGTGTTAGCCAACAAACACACAGCCAGTCTTAAAGGTGTATTTATACCTCTGAAATCTTACATGTTAAACAAAAGGTAATTAATCACTAAGCGCATAACCCAGTGATGGGTGAAGGGAAAACAAATCCCTTAGATCTCAGAGCCAACAGGTAGCAGAACAAGAGCATCCTACAGTTAAAAGCCCCAGGGTTTATGGGGCTACCTAGTTCTCACCTCCTCTTTCTTGCACTTGTAGGGAATATGGCAAGGTACGTAACAAACTCATTTTCATCTAAGAAGCAATACAATGTGAATCAAGGGCTGTTGTAAGGATTGAAATATTGTACACATCCACCGAAGAAATGCTGTGCTCACGTCTGTGCATACAGCAACATCTGCTAAATACTGTTAAGAGGTATGAAGAGCTTGAATCGGGGCGTATCGGGCTGTGGGGCGTGTGTTAAGTCTGGCGGGGAGCAGACGCTGGGTGTAGTTCCACAGAAAGATGTCACTCATCACACAAATGCTCTTTCTGAAAGGTACCAGCATCTGGGGGCATGGAGAAATCACTGCATCTGGCGGCTACTGATTCCTGGGGCCTCTCCTCCCACCCCCTTCGTCTCCTACCCGGGAAAGCGGACCGCGCTAGGTCAGCCTCTGCCTTTCTACGGAAAATAGCAATGCTTTCTGCCTTATTCCCTTCCTCTATTACCTTAATGTGCTGGCCTGGAGGATGAATGAGATAATAAACACGGAGCACCGAGCGAGCACAGCGTCTGGGTCACAGGAGGCGCTCAATAAATGTTAATTCCCTGCCCCCAGCCTGGTATAGATTAGCCCTGACTTCTCAGAAATGCAAATCCCTGCGCGCTCACCTAGGTCTCCTTTCAATATCTCTGCATAGGAGCCTTTTACAACCCCTTAAAGCTGGGCCAGAACCCCTCTCCTCTGCTAATTGTCCCACAGAGACCAGGGGAAGAGAAGGCAGCCACTCCGGAAGAGGCCCAAGCCTCCAAGCAGAAGAGTCTCTGTGTGTTATTGAGCTTCACAAGCGTGGACCTCATTCATCTTCACAGACATTGCTGCGCCATCCATTTTAAATGACATAAAAGTCGACCCGTTTATCAAGATCAGCATACTACTGTATTATTATGATTATTTAGCATTTACATAACACTCTATTTGCAAAGTGCTTAATAATAATTTATTTATTACTTCATCTAACTATGCACTAATGGAAAATTCAAGAGGTTGTTTTGAGTTCACTGACCTCGGCTCTGGAGACACCTCAGGCCATTTTCAATTGCTTCCCAAATGCCTGCTGCAAAATGTTTTAATGAAAAACCATTTGATATATATACACACACATATACTCACAGATAGGTACACACATATAATAAAAATACATTTATATTTATACAAGTGTAATATATAAATGTATTTATATTTATGCAGGGCTGTGTGTTTGTGTCTTTCCATTTTTGGCATTTGTACTGTGTTAAAAACAATAGTTTTACTTTACAAGGGAGAAAAATAAACATTACTATTATTAAGAAGCTACTGGAAATATATATATCTAGAACTTCCATAAAGTTGACACCAGATTCAGTCTTATTGTGTGGAAGACCGGAAATCATGCATGCCTTCTTTGTGTCCCACTTCTGGGCGGGTTTGTACCTGGTCAGAGTCATCCTCATCTCTATCCCAGGATGCAGGAGGCTTAAGTAGGGACTCAAGAGTTTAAAGTCAGCCTGATAAACATGCTAAGACTCTGTCTCATAAACAAATAAATAAGCAAACAAAAAAAAAGTAGGCTTCACAGCAGGGCTCAGAGTATTGCGGATGACTGACAACCTCGGACAGGAGGCTCTTTTGAGGCCCACCTCAGGCAGGTGGTGAGCACGGCTGTCTGCCCAGTGTGGCATTCAATTAGATAGGCATTTTGTTGCAGAGCTCCTGTTGGACTGGCAGAGACTTTCTCAGGCCCCCATTTCTACTTGGCAGCTTCTTAGCCCACTTATACTTCTCGTATCCTTTTCCATGTTTTTCCATTCCTGACTTAACCTCAGATCCAGCCAGCTTCCCCAGATGCTGGGCCTCCCCAACCCCATACTGAAGCCTAACCATGCCATGTTAGGCGAGTGTCTCTGCAGATTGTTAACTACCAACATACTGATGAGAGGTGGCTTTGATGGTTTCTGGGATCTTTCCCTTTCTCCCTTCTACACCTGTGAATCTATGTAGATGAGGATTCACTACAATTCTGGGTCTTTAGCTTCCATACAAAACAGTTTGATAAACACCCCAATAGAATGCCCTTAAGAAAGAGCACTAAATGCCTTAAATGACAAAAAGGATTTAATTTTGTCATGTAGTTGAAGGGTACAGTCCGTCACAGAAGGTAGGTCATGAAAGTAGGAGTCTGAGGATGCAGGTGGTCACTTGGCACCCACAGTGGTGAACGCTGGCTGCTCAACATCCTCCTTTTGATGCAATCTAGGACACAAGCTCCTGGGGAAGGCTCTGAGGGGAAAGCTCATTGTGTTTGATACCCCATTTCATACCTGCAATGACCTGCATTGATTTCACCCCTGCTAAAATGTTATGAGCATGGATTGATGTGGGAACATCCCGCAATAAGAAATTATTGTGTATATAAAACATTTATATGGAACATTATATAATATACAAGATAATAAGCAAATAAATGATATGGCATGAATGAGCTAACACCTACCTAGGCACACATGAAATATCAGTCAAACAGGGGTGTCAGAAGAGAGAACTAGGGAGAGGTCACAGTGATAGATGACAGAAACACGATTACATTCTGAAGAGTCCAACTCCTAAACCTGATGGTCCTCACTGTTTACCAGTTATACCCAATATGGGCAAAGGATGCTTAAGTAAACCATAAACCATCCGACAAGGAAGAGCTTCTGAGCAATACTTAGAAGCCCGGGGAGCGCCAACCTCTTGTTAGTGGTGGTTTGTTTCCTATGGAGGTCTTTTTGTGACCAAGAATAAGGACAGAAGACAAGAACCCTTTCCTGCCTCTATTCCCCTTCTTTTTTTTCCTTCCTTCCTTCCTTCCTTCCTTCCTTCCTTCCTTCCTTCCTTCCTTCCTTTCTTTCTTTCTTTCTTTCTTTTTTCTTTCTTTTGTTTTTCTCTGAAGCTTTGGATCCTGTCCTGGAACTAGCTTTTGTAGATCAGGTTGGCCTCAAACTCACAGAGATTCACCTGCTTCTACTCCTGAATGCTGGGATTAAAGGTGTTCGCCACCACCACCTGGCTTCCTTTTCTTTTTTTTTTTTAACTGTTATTTTCCAAATCATCTTTGGAAGAAATCTGGCCTCTCCTTTTTCTATACTTCTTTTCCTTTATCCCAGAGTGGTCTTGGGTCAAAGATACCTGTGAGAAAACAAACTATTAAAAAATGTAACTAGTTTTTCTGAAGTAAGAGCCAGCAAGAATAAAAACTAGTCATGGACAGGGTTAGGCATAAGGTCAATGGTGACTGGCTCTAACAGACACATTCAAACTGGATGAAATTCTAAAGAATGCTTATCATCATTTGTGTAAAATCTTAGAAGGCGCAGCTATCATTAACTAGGAGGATAGGTAACATGTTTAAGAAAAGAATAATGAGAAAATCTCGGCTGTCTTCTGTTGCCTTTAGAGGCCGATTAACAGAATGTGTACCACACCCCTTACGATGACAAACAGACAGGGTTCAGACACTATCTTCGGTAAGAGTCTAGGTTCGACTTCAGTGATGACTTCAGAGGAACTAGGATAATGTGATTTGCAGAGGTCAGCATGAACTGACCCGTAGAGGATTCACCCTGCTTCCATCACTTACTCCTCGGAAGGAAAATCTTAGAACAACGAACTCCTGATCTGAGTTTTTCAAAATAGTGAACAAAATTCCTCTCATTGTTGCTTGGGATAAAAGTGGGTAAGGAGAAAGATAACGTGTCAATAAAGAGGAAGAGATCCGACCTCAGCCTGAGGTAGTCCATAGTGTTTGCCACGGGCACTGGTTCTGGCTGGTCCTGTCTAAAATGTGGTTGTGTGTGCAGTAGCCTAGTACAGTGGCATTGCACACCCCCTTTGGGGCAGACCCTGGGCTTACAGCCTGACTCTTCTATGTATTTGTGTGACTCTCGATAAGTTACTCAGCTTTTATGGGGGCTTTCATGGATTTCACTTCTATAAAATGGGTGTCATCAGGGCATGATGGTACATTCCCTATAATGCCAACACTTAGGAGGCTAAGGCCAAAGGATGCCCTGATCCACATAGAGACTTTCAGACCATTCTGGGCTACATGGAAAGATTTTGTTTCAATGAAATAAATAATAAACCCAACCCAGTGTCATAGCACACACTTTAAAGAATTGGAACAGGCTACGATGCTGTGTAAAGTGTAGCATTTGGCCAGAGAAAGAGTCTGGAAACGGTAGCTCTTTATTACCCATTAAACACATTGTCTGAGAGTAATGAGCTAATATGTGGGATGCCAAAATCAGGATTCAGAAGGGTCTCACTAGACTGGACTCAAGGAGCAAATCTAATAGGGTGGCATTTAACAAGGATAAATGTAAAGGCAGCGTAATTAGATCTAAACAGCAAGTGGCACAAACGCCCGGTGGGGAGATGGGTATTATCAAGCGCACACCTGAGCAAGGGCTTGGGCGCATCACTGACTCGTTGCTAATTAAGGGTCAATGGTGTGAGAAGTCCACCAAGAAACAAAGG